AAAAAAAAAAAAAAAAAAAAAAAAAAAGGTTTCAGAAAAATGTAGGATAGGGTAGGGGTTTCTTAAACTGAACCGTCGACATGTGGTAAAGTTTTGAGTACGTTTCTTCCGTTTGATTGTTTTCAAGACAATTTATGTGAGGTCAAGACACTGTGTCAGTATGTTAAGTAGCCTACTGAATGACATTTGTTTAAAACAGTGTTGCAAAGTTACTTTTTTAAAACTCGAAATTAAACAAAGACCTAAAGATTTAAACAGACTCCCAAGCGGTTTTATTAGAGAAATAAATATTAGATAATTAAAGAAATCTTACTTCCAAATATCAGTCCAAATTAAAAAAAATTGAATTCCAGTGAAAATACAGGCTCGAATTAAAGACAGAAAAATACCCACCTGAAAGCTCTGTGGTATGTTCACAACCCTAAAGCAACTTCCTATACGTATGATGAGTGGTCTTATCATTCACGCACTATCGCCCCCCCCCCCGACCCCTCCCACCCTAGTCTCCCTTTAACAGAAAAAATAGCCAAAATGATAAATCAAATACCAATTTTTAAAAATCACTTAAAGTGACCAATAGCTATTTTTTAAAAAGAAGAATTATATTCACTGTAAATTTACTTTCTTCTGTCAGTCAACAAATCTTCATTTCTAAAGAAGAATTGGTTTGTTGCCGTAGGCTTTTAACAACAAAGAAATGTTTCATTTTCACTGAGTTAATTGTTTCCAGTCACCATAATAAGACAGGATTTTGCTCTGGTTTCTTACAATAATATCCTTGTTGACTGTTATAATAGCTGTAATTATTCTAAGGTTTAAGTTTAAGTTATCAATCTACTGATTATAATCAACAGCATCATGTAAGAAAACGGAGATTTAATTAACTGGTCATTCATATTATTGTTGTCTGTCAGCTGTAATTATTCTAAGGTTTAAGTTGTCAATCTACTGATTATAATCAACAGCATCATGTAAGAAAACGGAGATTTAACTAACTGGTCATTAATTTTATTTTGACAATAGCTCCCTTCGTTTATTTCACAACAAATTTTATAACTATAGTCATTAAGTGTAATACAAATAACAATCGCATTAAGACTGAGGAAATCAAATTTCCACCATTCATATTTTGCAACCATAATCAACATTTACATAATATATCCTCAATTTCAGTTATTTCTCTTCTTCTCCCTTCACATATAAACGTATTAGCTACTTCTTTTGTCATTTATGTTTTGTCAGTTTTCTTTCCCCACTTTGTTCAATATCCACCTTTATGACACACACACACACACACACACACACACGCATGCATATACATACACACACTACACATACACACACTCATTTATACATGCACATACACACACATACATATACATACATGCACACACACACACCACACACATACATATATATGCACATACACACACACGCTTTGTACACATATGTGCACATGCACATACACAAGCATACATACGTATTCATTTGTACACATAATAAGTATGCACATACATACATACTCACTTACATACAAGTGTGCACACACACATAATGTAGCCCCTCATGTATACACATATTCATGCAAACTTACATAAAAAGCACATTCATAAACATGTGTATGAACATAGCCTACACACCATACATGCATGCGCAAGCACACAAGCACGTACATAGACACATACTATACTTACACTGACATATATATATATATGTTATACATACACACACAAACACACACACACACACACACACACACACACATATATATATATACATACTCAGACCCACAAACACACAAACATACATATAAACCCACATACACCCAAACATACTTCCACGCAAAAGTGCTCAATTAAAAAGATTTATAAACTCTATGGTGGAATTGCTTCTAAAAATCATAGAAAAGCTTAATACTTTAAGTTTATCATCGTTATTCCATATTTCTCATAGTTTTTCTTCGACTGATCTCCTACATCTTAGTTGAGAAGAGTCATTTGCTGCAGTCAATGGCTTTGCAAAAAGCTCAACAAAGTCTTAAATTTTCACGACCGCAAACTAGGAAACTGACATAGATTTCATCATTCCTCTTCTGTATAAATTAACTTTCAAATAGCGAGGGATGATATATACCACATAAGAGGCAATGTTCTGATTACTTTACCATTTGCAAGACAACAGACAAGGATTTTGTCCTTGTATATATGCAGGAGCACAACTTAAATTGACATACCCTGGTTCTTCTGGAAAACAAACATAAAGTTAGTTTATAAATTCATAATGGCTCCAATACATTTAACTCATAATATATCAAAACATCCTTATTTTTTGGTAAACACTGATGCATTCCCATTCAACATGGTACCTTTTACTTTACTTCAGGGTTTTAGAGAATTGCATAAATTAGACATCTCCACTAGGATGAGGTACAGGAGCCCACTTTGCTGACAAAGAGCCTTTATCTAGGAGACACTGTAAAGCCAGTTCTCTATTCACAGATTTAAATGATGGATTTTTTGGTCTTACA